TAAATCGGGGACCATCTGTATAGATTTGCTTAACTAATCTAACAGAAATCCCTGAAGAAATATATTTAATTTCTCTTTCCCCAGCGCTACTCTGTAAAGAAACCAACGCAATGTAAATGTGATATATACCAATATCTAGAAAAAGTAGTCACCACGTAACAATTCAATACCAATACATGGCAAATTTCTGCCACACGTACAAAATAAAAGTAATACAAATTGAAAATCCGTGTACATGTTAGGAGGATGTAGAGTGAAGTGATTATTGTAATGGGCTCCGAAGCAAACCACTTGAGTTTGTATCCTGACTTTCTTGCTGCGGTTTTGAACAACTTATCTATCCTTTTTATGCATTATATTCTACGATCATTCATAGGCTATTATAAGAAGTAAAAGAGGTAATGTATATGAGAAGCCAAAAATACTGTCTCATATATCTCAAGCATTCTGTGATGATTAACCCTAATTCTTAATATTTTATGACAGAAATGTTTTCCTTTTATCAAAACAGAAATAAAGAATTACATAAATGTCTCAAAGCACATCTGACATTCAACTGTACTTTAGATCTTTAACTTTATCAATTTTATAAATTTCTACTAACAAGTGAAGTCATTCTTATTTTATCTTCATCTCTCTAAAGCATGAAGTCATGGTTTTAACTGCAGTTCTCTGCCTTTATTAAGTTAAAACTTTGATGCTAATCATTTACCACTATTTGATTTTCTTTTGTATTTGATTTTTGTGTTGATAATTCCCCAGTTCAGACATATAGAAAATTCATCATAAATTAACACTTACCTCTGCATTTCGTTTACCCAAATCAGATTAACATTTCAGACTACTTCAGTTATGTCTACATTAATCCTCATTTTCCATTTATGAAACCAGCAACTATGTCTTATCCATCCAAAGAAGCAACTGTGATGATTTGTGTTTCCTTCTCTTTCAGCAAAACTCAAGAGTGTTTACACCCAGTCCCTAATTTCTCTCCCCCTATTTTCTCCTGAACCCATTCTCATCAGGCTTTCCTCCCCACAACTTGATGAAAACTGCTGTAGTTGGGGCACCAAGGACCTCTATGCTGCTCAATCCAAAAGCACATTTCTCATTCTCACTCTCACCTTACTTGACCAATCTTCAGCATTTAACACAGCTAATCACTCCTTACTCTTTTCAATTCTTTACTTGGCTTCAAGGCACTCTTCTTGGTTGTTCTCTTTATCCCACATTCATGCAACAAATATTTATTGAGCATCTGCTATATTCCAGGTGCCATTCAGGAAGCTAAAGACTTCTTACTTCACGAGCTACATGTTCTCATTCTGCTTTCCTGGATCCACTGCTTCCCCCTGAATTTTTAACACTGGATTCTCAAAAGCTCCAACCTTAGATTCTTTGTATATCTACACTCATTCCACTGTGATCTTAACCAGTTTATATGCAATCTACATGTTTGTAACTCCCAGAGTTTTAGCTATACCCTGGATTCGCGCCATAAATTCAGATTCATCTGGCCAACTGCCTACTGTATCTCTCCAGTTGAATATTTAAGAGGCTGTCAAATTAACAAGTACAAGAACCATGTCCCTTCCCTCAATCTGTTCCTCCCTCAGTTTTATCCATACGAAGAAATCACAATTACATTCTTCCAATTGCTGGGGCCAAACTATTTTGAGTCATCCTTAATGCTTCTCTTTCCCTCACAGCCCAAACCCCATCTGTCAGGAAATTCTGTCACCTCTACATTTACAGCATATTCACAATCTGACCTCTTTGAACACTTCTACCACTAGGGTAGAAGGCCTACACCCACCCTCTCACCTGGATTACCATAGTAGCCTCATCATTGGTCTCCCTGGTTTTGCTCTTTTCCCCTCTTCAATCTATTCTTAAAACATGGGTCAGAACAGTCTGTCTGAAGTGTTATGTCTGATTATATCATTCCTCTATTTGCCATTTCACTCAGAATGAAAGCCATGATCTCGCTATTACCTATAAGGTACCTATAAGGTACTATATGATCTAGCTTCCTGCCCTCAGTCATCTAACCTTATCCTGACCTCATCTCCCACTACTCTTCTCCTCACTCACTTCACCCACACTGGCCACTTGCAATTTCTCAAACAAGCTCCTGCCTCAGGGCCTCTGCATTTGCCTTTCCTTCCATCGGAAATGCTCCTTCCCAAATATCCACATCATAGAGTTCACTTCCTCACTCCCTTCGGGTCTTTTTATATTACCTTCTCTGCGAGGCCTTCCATGACCATCCTATCTAAAATTATAAGTGACCTCAAATCGCCAACAATTCCCAGGACTTTCTATCCTCTTTTCCTCTACAGTGTTTATCACCATGTCTGCCTTAACACTTGTCTATTTTTTTTACTTACAATAGTGCCTGGCACAAAGTGCTCAATAAACATTTGTTGAATGGACTGAAAGAACAGAGGCCGGCATAATGGAGAAAGATGAAGAACAGATCTCATTTAAATAAAGAGAGCTAACAAAGCCTCCCTTCCTCCCATTATTTTGCAAACAAAGTTCCCAGGACAGCTGAAATGCCCAAAAACTTAAATTTCACAGACCTTAATTTCCATCTCTCCACATTAACTCAATGTATATTATTAGCACATTCTACAGGTTCAAAAAAAGAAATACTTCCATGTATACTTATTTGTAATCCTATTGAATTTAACCCAATAACAAACTGTACTAATTCAAACCCTCGATGTAAATAGGAGGCACACTAATTTCATACCTCATGGATTCAGGAACTGTGCATCAGTATCAAATATGTGAAAGTCAAGCCATAACATATATAATTAGGGTAACTTTAAATATGTGTGCAAAACTGCTAATTTTACCTCACTTTGTACACAGTATGGTTCCAGCTTTTTGTATGTGTTCTTTAATGTATTTTTTTCCATTCCAATTAAACACAGGTTTGATGTGCTGAAATTCAATAAACAACTAAGGCTTAAGTGTTACCATTTTCAGCAAATTGCATTACATTTAGGAGACATACACTTATCACTCCTATCTGAAATTTTTTTCTCTCCTCAGTTTTACAAAATGAGGTCAAAAAACCTAAACCAACCACAGCTACCATACAATTACGACAATGTTAACTACATTGAACTGTATAGCAGGCAACAAACTTGAGAGAGTATCAAACTTAGCTGGTACACAAAAGTCCAAATTCAGCCTCCCAAAGGCAGTTCAGAGGTATTAGTGGTATAATATACAAAAGTATATATTGATTTAAAAATCAAACAGGTACCAAAGTCAGCATGAACTTATCCATTGCTTGAATTACTGCAACAGCCTGCTTCCAGTTTTCCTGCTTTCCCACCATCAATGTAGCCAATGTAACTAACGGTCTCCATGTTCAAGCACTTCCTTGATAATGCCCAGGAACTCTGTTAACACCTTAATCTCTTTAACTTCATTGTATCATATAAATACCACTATCAGGCTAACTCCATAAGGTACACATTATTCCTATTTTAAAGATGTGGAAACAGATGCTTAAAAACGTTCTGTAACTTGCCGAAAGTCACACAGCTACCACAGGCTACAGCAGGACCCAAACTCACTGTCAAGTAAGACGTAGCAGGATGCATAATACCAGTACTCCACACGTGAGGAACTGATAAATGTTACTAGCCACTTACTTAAATATTTTTATGATTCACAGAACATTTTGATATATATTTTCATACCATTAACAAAATAATCTGACATTACTAAAATAATCATGTAAGGGTCATTTGTGTATTATGCAAGAGAAATATACAATTTGTAAAAGCCATGTTGATTTAAAACTCTAATCTTAATTATCTTTTATATTAAATATATTAAAATAATAAAATGACCAATTCTAGTGAAATATTAAAGTTGAATAAAGGTAGCTAAAATAAAGTCATAATCAATAAGTACATAAAAGAAAATTTCTGCACTTCTTAAACGAAGCTGAGGCATTATTACAAGGTCCCTAACATTTATGAGACAGATTACAAAATAGCCAAAGCTCTTATTCATGAATTTTCATTCTGGGAAAAAAAGAAAAGATCAGTATTTTGCCATGACAAAAATAAATTTTTTAAAGTAGAATTTCACAAAGAGTTTTCACATATATTAGCTTATTGATGACCCTCATAACAGAACTGTGAAATAAAATGAACAAAAATAATTATTTTCACATCCAGACAAGTAAGCTACAAAGTTTGGGGACTTGCCCAAAATCCAAAAGCTACAAATGCTGTCTTCAAATCATCCGTTTCCACTCTTTCCAGGTGACCTCTACTGCACAGACCACACCACCCTACCCAGGCTATCAGCTCACATATGACAGACAACCTGGATGCGGAAGACCTTGCAAGGAAGCTGGGGCTGTTCTGGAAAGATGGCAAAAAGAGGAGGAAGGGAGACAAAGATATCCTGATTCCTTCAATGATTTCTTTTTATGCGAATGTTTCTGGGAGGCGGGTACCTGCTGGAGCAGGGCTCCAATCCAGGCGGCCCAGGTGAGTTTTCCAGGGTGTGCCCCGGCTTCCCGGTCCCCCTGACACCTGCCACCACCCATAACTTAGGTCTCCGCCCGCCACTGGTTAGGGACAGAACATCTCGGCTCCTCTCACTTCCGAGATGAAGGAAGCCTTTGCTTCAGCCACCGCGACTTACCTGTCGGGTCATGAGAGATTTAATTTTTTGCATGTCTCAGTCCTGAGGAGGGTACCCTGCCTCGAATAGCTAACAAATCACACCGAGCCACTACACAGCTGGCCCTGACACAGGGAAGCCATAGTGGATGGTCACGTGGAGGCGCCGACCCAGGTCATCCTGTCTTGCCCTGGGTATGCTGGGAACTGTAGTCTTCTGGCCGCCGGCGGTAGTAACAATGAACTAAAGCGGCCAGTCCAGGGACTACATCTCCCAGCAAACAAAGGAGCGGGTGCGCCAGTTAAGCGCGTAAATCTTACTGCTCAGAGCGACCACTGCGATCGCCGGTCTTACGGAAAGTGCTTGCACTAGGTGGTAGCTACTCTTTGGGGAGACGGAAACCTAAGTCATAGGTGACTAGGAGTAGAGCGAAAGATCAAACTCAGAGGAGACAATATATAAGCCAGACTGACGCGATGCCCCCTAGGAGTGTGAGGGAGGAAACCTCACCTGGTATAGAGGGGCGGGGTGAGGGAACGAGAGACTGACGCGAAGGAGAAGGAACTCAAGAAAGGGCTGTCACTGAGAGGTGACCTGAGAACTCGAGACTACCCCGGGCGCGCTGGGTTTGGCCTGAGGAAAGGTGTGCTCTAGGTTGCCCAATGGGCGGCCCGCCAGGGTTAGGGCTGTTCTACCTCAGTCTTGGCATCCCCTGCAAAAGCTCTAAAATCGAAGGATTTTGACGCCCGCCTATTATTTTACCTCTGTACTCTAAGGCAAGTGATGACGGGAAATACGACAACAATAATGAGTATACGTGTCACTTTAAAGTCCTCTTTTCAACTTTTGGCAGTTTAGTTAAATTGGGGAAAGGAACAGGGGTGTCTTTGGGGACACAGTTTTAAAAGGACTTTACAATTATGAGAATATTAGGAGAAGAAGAAAAAGAAAGCGGCCCTAAAGCTAACAATAATAGCTAACACTTATCGAAAGCTGAGTACCTGTCAGAAACTGCTAATAGCTTTAAATATATGGCTTTATTTATCCACACAAGAATCCTGTGGGTTCCCATTTGAAAGATGACGAAGCAGGTATGGCGAAATTAAGGAACTTGCCTAGGATTACTAAAGATGTGCAAGCAGAAACTGAAGGATTGGTCATCAGGTGTGTTAAGATTTTCATGTATTGTGCTGAAGAAAGTTCTAAAGCATGGCACCAATTTTTTTAAGTTTATTTTATTGTAATGCTAACTTTTTAAAAGTTAACATAAACTTTTATAAACCTATAATTTCAAAAATATTTCTTAGAATAAAAAAAATTAGTATGTCAACCTAATAAAAAATACTGGGTAAACAATAGTATGGGTGGTAGTCAGATATGGCAAAACTAATAAAGGTGATTTGCAAATGACCGAAGTTTGGGGGACACTAACAGAGGTTATTTCTAATTCTGAAATTCTATTTTCTCACCCCTTAGAGCCTCGTTTTATTAATTTTTACAAATGAGGTTGCAATATTTTATATAGGGCTTTGTAAAGATAAATGAGATGATGTAGGTGAATGAAATGTATAAATTGTAAAGCACTATACAATTATGAGGTATAGTTTGATTCTGCCCGGTTCTCCACTCCAACAGAAACACCTTGTGCATTCTTTTTTTTTTTTTTTTTTTAATTATACTTTAAGTTCTAGGGTACATGTGCATAACGTGCAGGTTTGTTACATATGTATACTTGTGCCATGTTGCTGTGCTGCACCCATCAACTCATCAGCACCCATCAACTCGTCATTTACATCAGGTATAACTCCCAATGCAATCCCTCCCCCCTCCCCCCTCCCCATGATAGGCCCCACCTTGTGCATTCTTGCATCACTGCATTCAGCAATTCCTTTGAAATTATGTTTGCCTATATGCTTCTCTGACTTCGTTATTTCTAACCCCTTAAAGAAATTCTGGTCACATTTAGGGCAAGTCTAGTTTAGTTTATTCTTTACCTTCTCTAATCTTAGTTGTCAGACTGTTATTTGTATGTGAAAATCTTCAATATTTAGAAGTCCCTGAAAGCATCAAAAGAAACAAAAACTGCCAGCCATATTAGCATATAAAAATAAAACCCAAGTCAATAAACATTTCTTGATTATTGAGCTCAAGGCAACACTATAGTAAGCACTTTAGATTGATAATGTATGATTGTGGTCACAAGGAGTTCACAATTTAGTTTAAAAGCGTATCTGAGGGGTGATCCGAGTTCAGTAGTTCTCAAACCTGACTGTTCAGATTCACCTGAGGTGTGTGCTGTTATTATTGTTATTTTATTTGGGGATGTTTGTGTGTTTAAAATCTTCTGTGATTCTTAAAAGCAGTCCAGCTCTAGCATGTCAAATCCATGCTGTAAAGATGAGAAAACGTATCTATATAAGGGTTCAAGGCCACATATTTCATGAGAGCTTGATCTAGGACTAGAACCCAGATTCAACCCCAGAATTTTCTCCCTCACACACTCAGATACACAAAGTTAAAGATGATCCACCCAAAAAAGTTTTTTTTTTAATCTAATGTGTGTATTTCTATTGGCCAAATTCAGAAAAAATGAGTGTTATCCCTATCTATTTGACACCGAAAAAGCAAGAAAGTATTAAAACTTTGTTTTACTCCAAAACTCTACATTTTATTTTATTTCCTATAAACTGAAGAAATGGATAAAGATGGTTACAGTCTTCTAAAAGTTTGAAGGCTGTAACTATAATATTGAAAGTTTGTAAAGCAAGTCAGCACTGGTGTCTAAGTAAACTATATTTCCAAATTCAGCATACCTTAACACTATATGAAATAATTGAACCTTACATTATTCATTTCTACCTGTCTACGCTCAAAAAACAAAAAACTTGGCATCCTAAAAAACACTTTGTAAAAGGTTTGGCATGCTATTTCCTTTCCAATTTTCAAAAAGGTATTTATTTGTAAGATTTATTCAGGATTTTCATATTTACCTGAGAGCTGTTGTTAGTGATAGGCGAGTGCAGAGTAATGGAAAGTTTAGATGGTCTGCCAACAAATCTTGAGGGAAGGTTTGCTGGATACCAATTCCTTGGTAGAGAAGTGCTAACCCCATTTTTGCATACTGGAACATCAGAGCCGAGAGTTAAGTAAATTGATCTGATTCAGGGCAATAGGATTAGTAGTAAAGTAGGATAAGAGCATATTTCTAATGGCCCAAACAGGAGGAATATCTGGAAGCTTAAATAAAAGCTGAGATCCTGGTTTGATTAGAAAGATAAAGTTACTTACCACTGCACAAATACCAAAGCAGTGGAGAGATGCAGCCCCTCCAAGATGATATGACTACATTTCTTGAGCAGGCCATAACAGAAAACAGATCACTTGTCAAAGGTAAAGTAGTGACCTAAAGAGGTGCCCAGGAAGAAAGACAGTACTGCATAGTATTTAGCAGCCATATAAGATAGATAAAGGCTTCCGTGAGGTAGCTTTGTGGACTTTACAGAAGTGAACACTAGCACAGGCATAGGCATATGTGATAGCCTCCTCTGGCAGCTAACTCTCCCTGTAAACTGGAGAGAATCTACTAATTACAACAATAAGAAACATTTTCTCTCCCCAGTTCTTATTCCCCACTGTTCTACATCTACATTGACCTTGGCATTTCACCACCTCTCCTTCTTAATTGTTTCTGCCACTGCAAAACATGCACATGCTTGCTACTTGTGATTAAAAATGTGGATGTTTGAAATTTATGCAGCAGACATTTACTGTATGAAGTATTTCCAGTCTACAATTTAAATAAACTAGACTGTAAACTGTGTAGTGTGATTTGAGAGGTAATAAAAAGCCCTGCCTCCAACACACACACACACACACACACACACACACACCTGCACAGGTGTATATGTGTCCATATCCCATTGCAAATGCATGTGTGCGCGCACACACAAACACACACACACGCACACTCTATCCCAGTGGCTCCTTGCATTGCTTGCAGTTTAATCACCATGAATATAGATTGCTTTAGGTTCATCAGCCTTCTCATTTTAAATGCAAATATAACTAAGATTGGTAAACAGTAACACTACAAGACCTTTTTTCCTGACTGGAATGATACAGCAGAACTTCCCAGTGGGTTACATGTGTGATGTGAGATATGGATGGTAGGAAAATCTTATAATTATAAAACACTTCAAACGATTTTTAAGACTCATGTAAAAATTAACAACAGTTGAAGTTAAGCTTGAGCACTCTTTTTCTCACTTCCTATATAAACATGTTGAAATCAGAAGCGACTCCAGCAGGTATGAGTTTATATCTACAGTTTACCACTAGAGGGCGCTTTGTCATGATTATCCCAGTAGCCCTTTCCCTAGATGTGCCGTATATTTCAATGTGTGCCATGAAATAAAAAGATTACAAGTAAGCTTCATATTGGCATTTATTTGTTAATGTAGCATCTACTATCACCTTATGTCATGAAAGAGAGAATATTTTCAAATACAACAAATAAAATCTCAGAATAAAAAACTCCTTTATATTGAGTATGTTTAACACTAAGGAAAAATCACAGTACCTTGTCTTTATTTCTCTTTTTGCCAAGGACCCAACAAACTTTGTTATAATCCAGCACTAGATTTAAAAACACTGGAAAGAGCTAATTTAATAAAGGCAATTGGAGATTAATATCAATCTAAAAGATGTTGGGGGAGTCTATGTGATATCTGTAGAACTTCCCTATTACTTTCCAGATTGTATTTTGTGCAATCCAATATTCAAATTTATTTGTATATCTTACACATCAACTGAGAATCATAAGACAGGGACCAAGGAGCACTTAGAGTTTTGTTTTCTGGAGGAGCAACTTAACAAAAATACTAGTTAAGCATTATGCTACGTGCCCAAGATCCATGAATGAATAAGATTATTCTCTGTATTCTAGAGCTCAGAGGGAAAATAAACATCCAATAAAATAAATTAAGATTAAGGAGATAAGTGCTGCAATAGATGTATGTACCAGATTTAGAGATAGCACAGAGCAAGTCGTGGCATTGTTATTTTGCAGGGAGGTGGTGGAAGTGTGAGGAGCTCTTGCCATTTTTCTGAAGCATGGAGGGATCTGAAAGTGACTGATCTCTGAAGAGGACTTAGTTTTCCCAATAGTCACTTATTTTCTTGGCTTATAGAAGTCCTTCTAGAAGAGTTCAGAGCCTTAATGCAAAGAGGGTTTCCAAACTTGCATTCCAAAATTACTATCATTCCTTTTGCACTTTAATTATGCTTGAGATATATTCTTCCTTCCCCTCTTGTCATTGAACTTCTTCAGTGGGCCTTTACTGTTAAAACTGATGTATGCAAGGAATTTTACTTGATTTGATGATTTGATGCAGATTTGGATATATAATTAACATTTTATATAGCAAAGCTAGAACCAGAGCCTTCTTACAAATAGGGGTTAACTAATAACTTCGTAAATTAAGCAGACATGCTCAGACTATCTGCTGCCATGACAATGAAGAGACCAGGTTGAGAAACTGTAACGTGGACATTACAGTAGAGGTAAGATCTTTTCTAGATCATTGGTTCACTTCCTCTATGCATCTGCTGTGAGAATGTTGCCTCAGACACTATCTCTTGACGTGGGCTTTTCATTATAATTATGCATGGTCCATGCCTCAGCCCCACTCGGAAACACACCTGTGATTTGCTTTTAAAACTAAGATGAATTCAAAGATTCAATGAAATCAGTCACTGTAATAGGAAACACTGCATAGAAAAAATATGTTTTGAATATATGGTGGAGCTCTCTTTTGATTCGTCGGTAGAATTTTTACATGTTGGTGACTTCACGAAGATTTATGACTGTTTAGCAGATACATGAGCTACTTCTATTTTCTTATTTTTTTTTAATTTTTAAATAATAATGGCATAGTTTTGCATGATAGAAAACCAGCTTTTGTTTTTAAGGAAATCTCACAATATTCTTTCATTATGAAAACATGCCATTTTTCAGTAAAGTCACTTAAAAGGATGTTTTCCTTCATGTGATTTTTAATAACTAAGTATAATTTATGAAATATATAGACAATTACTGGTAGTTGCTAAGAAACTCTTCTGAAAGCCATAAGCCTGTATTCTTGCAAAGCACATAACAGGTGTTC